TTATGAGAAGAAGTTGTTTAGATGCCAAAAAAAAAACCATAAAATCCAATCATCTCGACCTTATGATTCATGGAAAAAAAAAAAAAAACTTCAAGTATTGGAAATAGTGCATCTTGCACTCCATTATCTAGACCATCAATTTTAAATATTTTTCAAGTGTTCATGGATCAGCTTGATCTACGCTATTTTTTAGGCTTTAAATTGTATAATTAGAAATGGAATAAATTTTCAAGTCATCATAAATATTTAGTATTGAAATGATATTTTTTGACACTATTTGAAGGTGTGCATTACTTTGATTATTTGAGGCCTCGGTTTATTGATATTGTTATGTCATTAATAATGTTAGCTGTATTATAATTGCTATTATTAATGTTCTCTTCCAATTTAGGGGAAGTTGAAATATAAAACAAAAGGATATATAGGATCAGTATTTGGGAAATTTACAGAAAAATCTCATTTTATTTTTCAAATTTATCAATAGTTATTTATATTTCAAATTTTGTGCTCAAAGTTGCACTTTTTTAGTACGTAGAATATATTTTAACTTTATTTGTTTTAAACATTAAATTCATCTCAAATCTGGGCTGTGCATGCTTCTCACCATCACACACTCGTAGAACAAATACAAAAAAAGAAAGTGAAAGAAATGGAATTTCCAAAAATAGAAATATTTATTTGTTTATGATCTTGATGTGAGAAGTATGATTGCTCCAAATTTAAGCTTAATATAATATATAAAAAATAAAAATAAAATACTGAGAGTGTATTTTAAATTCCACATGGTATGGTAGTTACCATACTAATATTGTAATCCAAAGTCACAAATGTCTTTAGATTTTCAATATCATGATAATGTCCATAGTCACAAATGACTTCACTTCATATTTTCAAAATTTTTAAAGGTAATTTTAAGGGGAAAAAACGGAGTAAATTCAGATTTTGAAAATTTAAAATCACCATTGACTTTAGATTTTTTAAAATGATTGTCTACAGAAATACCATTTATCTTTTGTACATGGAGGTCGTAATCATTATCGTGCATTGATTTCAAATTGGGTGGTTGTAAGAGTGTCATTGAATAGACACAAAGTTAAAATAATAATAATAATAATCTCAAACTTTATGACTCACCTCAAACCATCTAATTTGACATCTAATAAGTAGGGAATGATTGTGACATCCATGTGCAAAAGATAAATAATTTATACGCAACTTTGGATATAAAAAATCTGAAATCAATAGTGACTTCTTATTTATAATATCCAAAGTGACTTTGGTTTTTCATTAAAAAAGAGAGAAAAAAGAAAAATGACTATGAATATTGAAAATATGAAGTTACCGATTGGCCCGATGAGTTCTGATTTTCAATCTTTGAAATGAGAGTAAAATTGGAATAAAAGAAGACAGATAAAATAAATATGCATGCAATACCCAAAAATCAAGGAAGATTTTTGTAAGGGCGTAGTTTTCACAAGGTTGCAACTTTTAACTATCCAATTAAGGCGAACCTCCAAATTTTATCGTAACATGTAATTTTGGTGTAAAAATTCTTAAGACTATCTAAAAATCTATTTTTATATCTAATTATAAAATTTTAAACTAAAAAAAATGGTTAAAATCAAGTAAACCTATAAACATATGAAAATCTGGAAAATGGATGATCTAGATAATATGTTGCAAGATGCATTATTTATGGGATTTAAAATCTTTTTGTTTTTTTTATATCATACATCATGATGTCGCGACGATCAATTAGAAGGTTTTTCAACATTAAAACAACATTTTCCAATGAATTTTTGAAGTGCTATCTTTAATTCTACATTTTAAAGTTGCAACCTTATATAAACTTTTTATTTTTTATAATTACAACATTTGTATGGGATATACAAGTAATTACTTATATATTTACCTTAATATTCCTATTTATTTTTTTTAAAAAAAAACGGCACAAGAATTCGTCATTTATGACAAACAGTACAATGTTATTAGGGGGGACAAAATATAACGAAAGTATCATTTTGCCCTTCACCATCTTCCCTTTGATAATTAGCATTTACTGGTGCTTGCCCACACGTGGGGCATAAAAAGTTCGTACAATTACCTGCGTGCCCTTCTATATTGCTAGAAGCCGGTCCTATAAAAACATGTTTTATTGCCTTTAAGGGTATTGACGTAATTTTTCCCATTCAAAGGCGAGAGGGACTTTATGATAAAAAAACCTTAAAAATAGATGATCGAATATTGATTTTTTGATTCCTTGAGTTATCTTCCTGTAAAATCCTCAAAAAAGAAAAAGCAAGATATTAGGAGAGAGAATAGGGGAAAAGGCTTCACAGGCCTTTTTAATCACTTGCACGAGGGCAAGGTGATCTCTCTCTCTCTCTCTAAATTTTCTCTCTCTATGTTGGGATTAAAATTATCACTCTCTCCAATTAGGGATTTAAATCTCTCTCTAAGTTGGGATTATAAATCACTCTCTCTCTAGGTAGGGATTAAGAAGGTCTCTCTCTTAGTTGGGATAGATTACATTGAAGGTTTTGAGCTTTATCTCTCTAAAAAAGCTATTGGGTCCTTCTCTCTCTTACAAGGATTGTTGGCTGAGATATAAGAATACAAATAAAGGTGACATATTTCTCTCTCTCTCTCTCTCTCTAAAAAAGGTTAGGAGCTCTCTTTCTCTAGAAAAAGGTTGTGGGTTCTCTTTGTTTTTGTGTTTTTTAATGTTAGTTTTGGGTTCCCTCTGTCTGTCTTATCCATCTTAGAGAGAGAAAATTAAATGTAAATTTCAAAAACATATTTGGCGAAAAAATAAATGTGCAGTGAGAGTGGCCAAGATAAAAAACATATAATTTTGGTGTAAAAAATTATTAGGATTATCTGAAAATCTATTTTTATATCTAATTATAAAATTTAAACTCAAAAAATGGTTAAAATCAAGTATGTATGACCATATGAAAATCTTGAAAATGGACGGTCTAGATAATGTGTTGTAAGATGCACTATTTATGGGACTCAATATCTTTTTTTGTTTTCATATTCATATTTCTCTGATGTCGATATGATCAATTAGAGGGCTTTTCAACATTAAAACAATATTTTTTCGATAGACTTTTGAGGTACATCCTTAATTCTATATTTTAAGATTGTAACCCTATATACGCTTTTTCTTTTTTTATGTTAATTAAAAACCTTTAAAGATATTTCAAATTTCATCTTAATATTGGAGTTTTTAATTTGGAAATGTAGAAGCTCGCTTCTACTGTTTCAAATTAAACGTGGCCACATCAAACGGCAACATAATGAGTTTTTTATTTTTATTCAAAAATAATATTTACTAGATATTTAAGTTATAGAGTGATTTTATATAGTGCAACAACTAAAAAGATAAAAAAATATTTTAAACTAAAATACCCTTAAATTGTTATGAGCTAATTTTTTTATATAAAATATTTTTACTATTTTATTTGATTCGTCATATAAAATATATTTATACCCAAATTCTATATAAATATTGTTTAAAAAAAAATACAAAACTCTTTTTGAGCAATTGGATGATCCTAGGTTAAATCTGAACTATTGACATATGCTTGTGCACCCTTCAAGTACCCACATCATGCAGTCATTATGCCATCTTGTTTTTTTATTCTAGTTCAAAACTTTTCAAATTTCCCCCAAAGAAAAACAGTTATATTTGGAGTTTCTTATTTTAATTAAAAAGCATTTCAAAATATTTCAAATTTCATTCAAAGAAGTAAAGACTTTATATTGGGGGACTTCATTTTAAAGGTGGGGTTTGTACCGGGCTAATGCCTTAATCAATCAAAGTAAGGCGCACCTTCAAATAGTGCTGAAATGCCTTGTTCTAGTATAAAAAATATTTGTGATAGTCTACAGATTCATTTTCATCTCTAATTATAAAATTTCAAAATAACAAAAATAGTGTGGATCAAATAGATCTATGAACACTTGAAAGTTTCGAAAATTGTCCGTCTAGATAATACATTGTAAGATATACTATTTCCAAAGCTCGAAATCTATTTTTTCCAATATATATACATCTTGAGGTCGAAATGATCTTATTGAGGGTTTTTCATCATTGAAAACAAACCTCTAGTGAATTTTTAAGGTTCACCTTAATTTGATTGATTAGGGCCTTATATAAACTTTTTCCTTATTTTAATTCAAAAACATTTCAAAATTCATCCAAAATATTTCAAGTTGGACCTTTGGAGTTAGCTATAATTGGCATTTTATTTACACAAAAAATGTGAGAGAGAAGAGATATTTTAACACAAAAACATTTAATTTTAACACAAAAATATTTAAAAATATTTCGATTTCGATCCAAGATATTTAAGAGAGAGAGAACCGAAAGAAAAAACAGAGTTACGTTTGAAATTTCAATTTTAACGCAAAAACATTTCAAAATATTTAAATTCGATCCAAGATATTTCAAATTTAGCCCATAGAATTAGCTATTATTAGCATTTTATGACCCTAAATTATGAAGGATGTGGTTTGCATAATGTTGCAACTTTAAACAATCAAAATAAAGCGCGCCTTCAACTTTTATTTTAAGATGGAATGTTAGTATAATTTTTTCTAAGATGGCCTGAAAAACCATTTTTATTTTTAATTTTAAATTTAAAAAATGGTTCAAATAAGGTAGATTTATAACCACATGAAAATCTTGAAAATAGGCCATCTTGTAAGTTGTACTATTTTTCGAACTCAAATCTTTTTTTTTTCTATAGTCATACATCCCGATTTTGAGAAGATCAATTAGAGGGTTTTGCCACATCAAAACAATTTTGTTTCCGATCCAATATACTTTAAATTGAATTTTGATTCCATAAATTTTGCTATTAAAATGGCATTTTCTCATAATTTGTCCACAAATGATAAGAAGATGAACTGATGGTCGTGTTAATGTCTTAACTTTTGCTTTGACGCTGTTACAGTGGTTAATAAAGACTGTTACTAGCTTTTTTTAACCATCACCGTCTTAACCCCTCAATAGGAGGGGCCTCTCTCTTCTCTTTCTCTCTCTTCTTTTTCTTTCTCTCTCTTTTCCTCCTCCTCTCTAGCATTGAGGCTGAGAACAAACCAGACCATCCATAGCCAACACCACCATTCACGAAAAGCAGCAAAAACAACAACAAAAACAATAACCAAAACCCTCTAAATCCTTGTAATTTCCATTATTACATATCTCCTGCACCGTGGATCTCCAGAAAGCCTATCAAAAACCACCTTTCTCATTCCCAAAAAGAGAAAAAAAAACTCATGCAGAACCCAGTAGATCTTAATCAATATCTCATCGACCCATATTGTATTTTCTCATTTTTTTTGGAATTTGTAATAAATAAGTTGAGATTCATCATTTTGGTTATCGGATCGACCCGTATCGAGCTGATTTGAATTGTGTTGATCTGATTGTTTCTTTGTGCTTTGATTTGATGGAGAATTGATGAGATGGGTTGCTTGGAATCGGGCGAAATTAGGGTTTGAAAATGCCCGGTCTCATGCAGAGGAATGCCCAATTTGCGTTCACTTCTTACTCTAATGTTTCTGGATCAGTTTCTTCTAATGGAATCTGGTCCAGGCGCCATGATGATGTTACATTAGAGCAGCTGCATAAGGTGAATCACTGTTTCTTTCCCTTAATTTTTAATGGATTTTTCCTGATAATTGATGGGATTTTAGATTGTATATCACTCTATTGGTCTGATGGATTTTTCTTTTGTATATTCTGGATTGGTTTTCTGTATTTTTTGGTTTGGATGAACAGTTCAATTTAAAATTAGTATATTCGGTATTGTTCCATCAAGTATCAGCTGATTAATGAATCAATTACTATGTTTGCAATAATCAATTGATTAATTAGTTGATTGTTTATATTATTTGGATGTAAAATCTGATTGTTTTACACGTGAATGCTGATCCATAATATGGAGAATGGCTGCTGATTCTAGTCTCTGCTTCCGTTTTTTTTTGTCTTCTTAGAATTTCTGTTGTTGTGTTTGTGAATATATTGCAAAAAGTAACCTTTTCTAGCTCCAATTTATTTGTGTAGTTTGATCTAATTGGTTTCAACATTATTTCACATGACTTGAATTTTATTACTGCTTAATAATTATTGCACCGATGCATTTGGTCAGAGTTATTGTGATATATCTGCTTTGCATTTTTTCTCTTAAGTATTTTCTCCCTCAGTCCCAATGCTAATGGATTGTTTTGAGTTCCCAATGCGAGGATGTATTTCACTGCAATATATTAATAGGGTATTTTTTGCATGGATCTTAGTAATCCTTTTGGCCCTGAAGCTAAAAATAACTTGTTAAATTTTCTCATTGGTTTATTCTTTGGAAAACTGTACTGAATTTAGTTGAAATTTAGAGTCACTATGGTGCAAGCATTTATTCGTTCATTTCTTGTACCAGTATTACTTATTCACTTTTTAATAGGAGTATTACTGATTCACTACTTGTCATTGATTATTTGCACTAGTTTTGGAGTGAGTTACCACCAAATGCTCGACAAGAACTTTTGAGGATAGATAAGCAAACTCTCTTTGAGCAGGCTCGCAAGAACCTATACTGTTCAAGGTGCAATGGCCTACTACTTGAAGGATTTTATCAGATTGTTATGTATGGGAAGTCTCTCCAACAAGAAGGAGGAAGCCTTAATCTTCTTAGCAAGCCAGGGGTGTGTAGAAACCCCAGTGAGAATGGTTCGGGAGCAATGTTTACAGGCAGCCAAGATGATATACGTGACCCAGCGATTCATCCTTGGGGTGGACTTGCAACTACTAGAGATGGAATATTGACTCTCTTAGACTGTTTCTTGGAAGGGAAATCCCTTGATGGCCTTCAGATTGTACGTTCAAATTTGTACCCAAATCTCTCTCTCTCTCTCTCTCTCTCTCTCTCTCTTTCTCTCCCCACACACACAAACACCAACACGCAACATATAAGAAATCACTCAATACCTTCAGCTTACTTCAAAGAGTGCATTAAGATGTCTATTGAATCAGATTTGTATCACTCAATCCCTTCAGTGTACTTCAAAGAATGCATCAAAACTCATTCTCACACAAGCCTGTCTTTCGTATATTTATTGTTTATTTATCCTTCAATGAGCATTGAGTTGTATTAGTCTCATACTCAAATGGTTTAACATCTTTTTGATGCCCCATCCCCGTTTAGACATATCTCCAATATGTATATCCAATGTGTGTTGAAAGTCATACCCAAGAGAGCACCTGTCCTTTTGATATCTTTTTTAAACTTAATGTTCCTCTAAAAAAGCAAAGTTCTTTTATATTGGTCTTATTCAAAAACTTTATTGAAGCTGTGCATGATTCTTTTTTCTCACTTCCACGAATTTGATGAAATAGTCCTCAAATTGTTGATATAAGGAAACAAGCTTTTCATTCAGGTATTTGACAGTGCACGAGCAAGGGAACGGGAGAGAGAGTTGCTTTATCCAGATGCATGTGGAGGGGGAGGTCGTGGTTGGATAAGCCAAGGCATGGTGAACTATGGGCGAGGGCACGGAACAAGGGAATCATGTGCCCTGCATACTGCGAGGCTTTCGTGTGAAACCCTAGTGGACTTTTGGTCGGCATTGGGCGATGAGACACGCCTATCTCTCTTGCGTATGAAAGAAGAAGACTTCATTGAGAGACTTATGTACAGGTGAGTTTTGGCAGAGGTGCCTTACTTGTACTTGATGCTTACAGGCATTTCAAGCACTATATACAGAAGAAAAAAAAGGAGGGAATAGTAATGATGTGACACTGATATTACTTCTTAAAACATATGCATCGGGTTCTTTTTCTTTTTTCTTGTTTAAGTGAAAGTTTTGGAGTTCGAAGTTTGATAACCATTTATATATTCCATGGTTGGGAAATTGGAAGCATGTGGTTAAGGCAGTGGCTATTATACAATTATGCAGATTCAAATATCACCTTAGGCTTGAGGAAGTATGTATGTGACATTGACTTAATGTGATTCAGGGGCCTTGGAAAAGTATGTTCATGAATTGATATCATTTCTTTGGGCCAGGATGAAATCAAAATCTGGTATCCCTGGCCCTAACTATATCCTAGAACCACAAATTCAGTATAAAGGTGCAAAAATATTGTCATTTAGTGTACATGTCAAACACACTTCCGTTCTTCTTGTTTTTAGATTCCATAACAATTTGGAAAGGAGAAGCCTTGGGTTTTTTTGACAAAAAACCTAGCTAATCTTCCCTTTCAAAAGGCATTATTGTGAAAGGTTTATTGTCATAGTGACTTCCTAGTATGTTGTGATTCCTATATGGATCTCACATGTCCCAAAGGAACATGCTTATGTTCGGATGGCAGTTTGCTATTATTGTTGGCAGAATCTATGTCCTCAATGGGCGATATTGGACAAATGCAATCATTTAGAATATCATGAGCTTATATGGGTCTCTAAATTATGGAAATTGTGTATATCTGATTATCTGTTATAGCTCAGGGTTTTTCTCTTCCTCTCGTTTGTACCTTATCAGTTCATGTTATGAGACCACTATTTTATAACACGATATATGTATGTGTATGTAGTTTTCTTATTTCGTGTTGTACACCAAACTATGAAATAGGATCATACCAAGTTATGCGGTGGGAGTGGTTGTATCAGGTTATGTCAGCTATTTCAGCTCTGTAATTACTTTTGCTTTTCTCTCGCTTCCATTTGCATTAGATGTCAATTAATGCTTTTATTTATAAGATTCGCTTGGTTGCCTGAGTTATAGGAGCACTGTATGTGAGTAGATTTTGCTCCACAACCTAATCCCGAAGCAAACTCTCACATATGTTCACTTGTCTTCCTCCACGTTGATTCATTTATCTTTGAACATTTAAGGTGGTTGGGTGGCATGTCTTGATGTTATCTATCTATAATTAAGCAAGAGAACTTTAAAGGGCTTTTATTAGACGATCCATAGGACATGGTTAGTTTAATCCTGCTCCCATCTTATTCTCCATATTCATATCATAATTGGTGGGAGGGCACTTTCTAATTTCCTTAGTTCTCTCTTTAAAATATTATATCAAATATCGCAGTGTTTAAATGAGGAAGCCTATAAGGGGCAACCTATTCTAATGCTCATTTAAAGCAGCGTTGAATTCTAAGCCATCTCTACCAACCTCGCAAAATATAACAAGAAGAAAGAAACTTGGTTCCATTCATAATGTTCAGGAATTGGTAGATTCACATGCAAAAATCTGTTCTGGGGGAAATCTACGAGTGCACACAGTCGATTTAAGGATTTCCGGCAAATTACCAATCAGGCTCCCCTGTAGTGACTCAAGATATGATTGGGCTGAAAAAGTCAAGTAAATCAGTTCATTCTTCAACATACAAGTATGTTAGCATCTTGTAATTCTGCGAGTTGATATTCATTTAATTATGAACAGTACCCATGCTTACTGATGGAGAAGATTTGAGAGCATTGACGCAAGGTGAGGGGGTGAATAGCTGAGAGCTGAGCATAGTTCTGGAGCCCAGGAAAAGTACTTATTGAAGATGTAGCTGATATAGAAACAGTTTACCCCATTTGTATTCACGAGGGTTCCTCGTACATTTTTATTTGGGCATTTTATCAAAGAGCCCTTTAAGAAATGATTATTTTCTTACTGCCCCATGTAGCTCATGGATATAGACCATATCTGTATTTGTGTCAGACTTGGCAGAAGCTCTTTCCAATTATGCCTCTGTTCCAGAATCCTCGGCTTTTTGAGAAAGGGAAAGATTAAACCACTCGATTGTTTTTAGTAACCCACTGACCTGGCGAGAAATCAACTCAATGTCCATATTGCCACCCATGTTACAGATGACATATTTGAGCATTGAGTGGTGACTAGTGAGACTTGGATACAAAGCCTTATTCTCTGCTCTTTATTCGCGATTTGTCCTGTTAGTCTTTACTAATCATGCTGTGAGGACTATTGTGCATGTGCTTTTGGTTGCAGTTGGCATCTTCAAAAGAGTATTTTCATTCACCCTTGCTGAACATATTCCTGAAGCCTAACATTGGAAACTTCTGCTAAGGGGCTGCAAATATTCTCAGTTCCCCCAGTTTGTTTTGGGTTTTGAAGATTACTTAGTTTGTAATTTCATCTATTTTTCTCTCGTTCCATCTTGTATCTTCTCGTCTTTTTCAAAGGGGGATTTCAGTGCTACACGGTTGTTAGTTGTATGCCGTTTTTTTAATGTTAGTTGTATGCCCTTGAGACCTGTCTTTGGGTTTCCTTTGTTACTCTTCACTTACAATGATCAACAGAACAATGTGTTGGTTAACTGTGATCCACTGATCAATGATATACTAGACTATATTTTTTATTCAAATGTATAGGTCTTGAGAATTTGATGTTCATGTTACAGGTTTGACAGCAAGAGGTTTTGCAGAGATTGCAGAAGGAATGTGATGCGTGAGTTTAAGGAGTTGAAGGAGCTGAAACGCATGAGAAAGGAGCCACAGTGCACCAATTGGTTCTGTGTTGCAGATACAGCTTTCCAGTATGAGGTGTATTTTTAGACAAATCTTGCAGAAATGCTCTCTCTTTTTCTGTCCTCCATATATATATATATATATATAATTGTACACAATTGTACACATGCAAATACAATGTTATTATATTGCATATTCACTTTGCCAAGTTTTTGCCTTCATTTCGAGGTTGTTATCTTTGGTTAGAGAGAAGAATGCATTGTTGTACTCGGGAGTCAGGACACACTTTTATATAATTTAATGGAGCTAATTTTAATTTCCTAGGGAAGGGGAAAATGCATGTTTCTGTGGTTGTTTGCTTGCCTTACATTGTTGTTTTGTTTAACCATGCAAATATTTGTTTTCCAGGTGTCAAACAGCATGATCCGAGCTGATTGGCGTCAGTCCTTTGCAGAAATGGCTGTCACTTATCATCATTTTGAGTGGGCAGTCGGAACAGGAGAGGGAAAATGTGACATTTTGGGATTCGAGGATGTTGGTATGAGTGGGAATGTTCAGGTAGATGGGCTTGATCTTGGGGGCTTGAATTCATGCTTTATTACATTGAGGGCCTGGAAGCTAGATGGTCGGTGCTCTGAGATCTCTGTGAAGGCACATGCATTGAAGGGCCAGGCATGTGTCCATCGAAGGCTCATTGTTGGTGATGGGTTTGTTTCAATAACAAAAGGTGAAAGCATCAAAAGATTCTTTGAGCATGCTGAAGAGGCTGAGGAGGAAGAGGTGAGATGATTAACTCTAGAGAGACAGGAAAAAATCTGGTGAACTACGGAAAATCATAGTATATTATGGTTGTTACCTTCCAATGACACAACGGGTAGTGATGGAGAGAGAATGGGTCCCACTATTATGGTCATATCTTGTTCTGGAGGGTTGCACTCTCTCTCTCTAGCAGCTTCCACCATTTCATGGATGGTGATGACCCAGTGGACTATGAAAAAACCATGATCCATTGGATTATACTTTCCATTGTGACTATATGTAGAGCCAAAGTTTGTTTCCTTTCCAAAGATAAAATTAGTATGGTAGCTTTCGTCCCTGTATTGGTTTCTGCACTCTGAAATTTCTGCTAAAGTAGGTGCAAATTTGGCCTGGATTGTGGTTCAAACTTGCTTGCATATGACATGCCTTTCTCTTCTCTTTTCTTTTTTCTAGTTGTTAATCCTGTTAACTAACATGCTTTTTTATCAGACAGCCCCTAGGCACACATCTGATTTTCCATACCCATGTCATAATTGGTAGGAGGGGCCCTTTTCACTTCTACTCCACTAAAAATTAATTTTCTTCCCCTTAGTTACTGTTATAGAATATCGTTGTTTAAAATGCTTATATTTTATGAGATAATGGTGTTGCAAACACCAAGTTCTAAGTTGTTTTTTTCTTAAAATGGAAAGCAAGAGATCAGTTTTTCAAATACTTGTGTTTTAAAAAAATGCTTTCTTTCAAATACTCGTATTTTGTTGAAAATTCTTTTGGCCACTCACGTTTCTAAGTATGCACCCGATGTTTTTTATTCTGCTACCCAATAAATGAGTGGCAATATAGACTTGTGGTTCATTCGGCCACCAGGTTGGGCGGAGTAGTGGATGAGTGATCGAATCTTTCCCTTTACCAAAAAACAGGGGTTTTCTGGCAGAGGGGCGAAATTGGAAAGTACGCCCCTTGACATTTCTGACAAATGCAGATGTGTGCTCTTTTAATACTAAGAAATAAGATGGGTGTAGTATTAAATAACAGTCTCATATAGGTTCTTTGATAAAATGTCCCGAGTAAACTTTGGTTGATCTTAACTTAATGTACTTTTCCTTATCCTGAATTTAATACTTGTCCCAACTTAGCCAAAACATTTCCGAAATCCTTAATTTTAGACATTGGCCCATAGTGTTCTATTCTTTTACTATTAGCAGCTGCCCGATTCCCATATTTGTTGATAAAAGATTGGGCTGCCTTGTTATTGGTGTCTTATGATACTCAATTGTAGGATGATGATTCCATGGACAAGGATGGTAATGAGTTGGATGGTGAAGGTTCTCGGCCTCAAAAGCATGCAAAGAGTCCTGAACTTGCCAGAGAATTCCTTTTGGATGCTGCTACTGTTATTTTTAAAGAACAGGCATGTATCTTACTTGCAACTCAAAGCGATAGAAGAGGAACATGATTTATATGGATTGTTGGCAGATAATGCTAATTAATCCTAAAGAAAAAAGGAAAAAAGAGGGACAAATAATGGATACAAGCATTACAGACCTGCTAAGTTAACCGGACAAAAAGAAAAGCATGCTTATGTTGGGTTCCTTTTCTGATTGATTCTTACTTGTTTACAGGTCGAAAAAGCTTTCAGAGAAGGTACTGCACGCCAAAATGCACACAGTTTATTTGTTTGTCTTGCCCTAGGGTTGTTGGAAGAGCGTGTTCATGTTGCCTGCAAAGAGATTATTACACTAGAAAAACAGGTAAACTTGAATTTCCTTTCAGATCTTAATATTTTTCAATCAGACTATCATTTGAAATGCTAGACAAGGGTGTTTATGTTGATGTGTTGTTATCTTGATGACTTTTGTATTGTAGTTTTCGTATTCGTTTGATGAACTGCACTTCGGCATGTATGAGCCAAGTCTCACCATGAATCATTGATTGAATTTACTTTTCCACAAATAGTTGTTCCATATGCAAAATATCTCGTCTCATCTAGATCCTGGTTGCACCCACAGATGAAGCTCCTTGAAGAAGAAGAAAGAGAAAAGCGTGAAGATGAAGAAAGGAGAGAGAGAAAGAAACTAAAAGAGAGAGAAAAGAAGCAGAGAAGAAAGGAGAAACTAAAAGGAAAAGAAAAGCAAAAGGAGAAGGCTGCTGAACAGAGCCCTACTTCCACTGATACAAGAGTGCCTGCATACAATTCTTCCTTGACTATTGTTCAAGAGGAGTCCACTCTATCTCTAAACTCAGGCAACATTGAAACTGAAGATGATTTGCCATCAATATTGGTCCCTTTAGATAACACAGATACCCCACCATCAGCTGAAAATACCATTTCAAGACATTATAACCATAAAACTAACAACACGAGGCATGCATCTGGTTATGTTGAAGTGGATTTTAGTGGGAGGGAAAATAACGGTTTTCTTATGATAGAGCAATCAAAATATTCAAGGCGGAAGTTGAAGCCTCGAAAGGATTCCTCGTTAGAGCCACCTTCAAAATGGTTCCCTCGACGAGGATCAAATTCAGACCAGGTCGAAGATTCTGAGACAATGCCACATAATCATATGGGAAACCCTAGGTCAACCAATGGAGTTCACAGGCAACAGAGAAGTAATTTTCCAAAGATCAACACAAGAAGTTATGCTCCCAAGCATAATAGTGAGAAGTCCCACTGTTCTAATAGCAGATCATGGGATAGATATGACTCTCATTCATGCAGCTGTAACCCTCAAAGTGACTCTAGATTTAGAGATGGACAAAACCCATCTATTACTCGAACAGGTAAAGAGATGAAGATGGGGAATAAGTCTGAACCAGCAATGGATATGACCAGGCCATATTACCGAAGCAACAAGTATAATAGTGGTGGTTGCTTGAGAGATGGTAATGGAGTTCCTAAAGGTAGGCCTGTGATGGGGAGTATTCCTGTCAGAGGGGATGCTTCGCACATTAAAAAAGTATGGGAACCTCTTGATCCATGGAGGAGATGCCCTAAAAGCTCCTTGGACATGAATATGAATGGATGCCAATCTGAGAACACCATGAAATCCGTGTCAGAACGAAAGGATTTGTCTATAGTTTCTGAAACTTCAGGTGAATATGAGAATGCCAGAAAGGTTGAGCTTGGAAGTTCGAAGGATCTCATTGACTCGAGCTCTGAGGCTGGCCATAAAAGGGAACCTGAAGATGGGTCAGTGGCATCTCATCAAAATTTTGACATTAGTGGGGAGAACGAAGATGGGTTAATGGCATCTCATCAGAATTTTGACATAAAAGCTAATGGGGAAGCTAGGAGTGCTCCTGATCCCACTCTTAATAGCACATCTGGTTCAGATAATGGCTCATCTTGTTCTAGTGAGGGAGATAGCAGCTCTTGTCCTTTGGGTTCCCAAAATGCGGAATGCTCTTCAGTGTCTGACTCTGAGGAGACCACTCAATCTGAAGGTAGAGACTCATGCAGTGAGAATGGGTTTAGAGCGTGTTCAGATATCGGAATGACCCAAGATTTAGAAGCGACTCTACCAATTGAGCAACCCGTAAAGCCTATTTCTTCTGATAACAATAAGAGCCTTCCTTATAGCACAACTGAGATGAGACCTTCTCCGCATCATGTGCATCCAGTGCCCAACCCAACCATGGCTATGCCTGTATTTCCAGCCCACTCAATGGGGTACTATCAGAGCTCCACTCCTTGGGCCCCATCTCCTAATGGCTTGGTTCCTTTTATTCAGCCCAGTGGACTCCTGTTCTCAAGCCCACTTAGCTATGGACTACCTCAAAGCAGATCTTCGCGCTTTTGTACCCCATATGGAACTCTTCAACCTTTTAACCCTATAATCAATAATGTGGGCCATATTCCATCATTCCCAATGAAAACCAGTGCTGTGAACCCAAAGGAGCAAACAAAGAATTTGAAGTTTGAGGGGCTTGAAAGTGGCGTTAGGGGGTTCTCTTATGAAGCAAGCGTGCCTCAAAAGGTACCTGAGAGACCATTCTCGAAAACACATCTATCCTCTGAAGGCTTATTATCAGGACAAGATGGAAATGACGGGAAGCCCCAAACACTTGCGAACACAAACTTTTCATTTTTTCACTTTGGTGGTCCATTAGCAGCTGGAGAAGGGTACAACCCAGTTCCGATACCATTGAAAGAGGAGATAGTTGGTGATGAAAACAATAAGAGAGATTCAATTCTTGAAGAATATAGCCTATTTGCATCAGGAAATGGGAACAGATTTTCGTTCTTCTGATGCTGCAAAGACTTTAGGTTCAATTCCCGTTGAGGTATTGGGGAAAAGTTTTTGTATTTGTGATTAGATAGATGGCATTTTTCTCTATACAAATATTTCATCTTTGTTTCCACTCAGTTGTGGTGTCTTTCATTTTATTCTGATTGTAATGATTGAGAGAGTGGCGTGTTGTTAAATTTTCGTTGTATGAGGTGAGTTTTCAGTGGTAGTGAAGTATTTTTTTTTGGCCGTCTGTCAGCAATTCTTGGCCCAAACGTCTGTCAGCAATTCTTGGCCCAAAAAATTCCTGAGATTATGATGTTCATTGGTTTTTCTTCACTTGTGTTTATTTGCAGCCATCTCTGAGCTTTTTTACTGTTTGTGTTGAACTCAGATGTCTCATTTATAGATTTTTTCACTTCATTTTTTCCATGCATACCACCATTGAGCTTAAATTTCCAAGTTTTCTGTTGTTCGTTTTCGCATTTAAGAATAATGACCGACTTTTCAATACTGTTTTCATTTGAAATAGTGTAGAAAATATTGGATGTTTAGAACCAAGGGAGAAAAACTTTTCTGATTTTCCTATCTTTATAAAGAACATCATGATGCTCAAAAAAAAAAACATCATGATGCTCAAAGGGCATTTGGATGTTTAGTTCTTCAAATTTTAGATTAATGTCTTCCATGTTCGCAAACTTGGTCGAGTCAGATTGGATTCACCCATGTCTCGATGGATAAAAAATAAATCGAATGGGAGATGTAAAGTCTTGATTGCGATTTATCTGATAAACCAAACGAGTCATGAATCGGGGAATCACTTACATTGTTTTTCTTGGGTAGTCTTTTTCTTCTAATATTTTATGTGGACAAATTAAATTTTTAGGTAAAAGTTTGATTTTAATACCATGGATAACATTACATGAGTTACCGAGTTCAATCGCTCTAGACACTAACTCGATAGCGTCCCCATACTATGGAGTCCTTGAATTGCGAACGCTGTCAATTATTTGATTGTGCTCAATTCTATAGGGCTAGTTGCAAACAAGCAGGAAAAATATATCCTATAGATTGCCATGGATCTGTAGCAGGTCCTACAGTAGCAAAAAATGTTCTTTAATATAATATAGGGAAATTCATCAAAATATCGATAAAAGAAACCTTTTAATATTTTCTATCCATTTGCAACTATTCTAACTCATAATCATCCATATTTTAATGATATTCTGAAAGCAAATAAAAAATTATGAGTAGAATTTCAGCAGTTCAAATTAATTTGATAAGTATTTGGATAGATTTCCCTATAATATAAAAGAAAAGTATACAATGAGACTATTTACCTTACATACAAAGTGGTCACAATTAATCTTGACAATTGGATGTGAAATTGGATGGTTGCAGTTATTCTATTGACGAAGCTCAAGCTTCAAAACAAATTTTTTCAAACTTTGTGACACACCCAAACTATCAAATTTAACATTTAATATTTATAAGTAACTATGACTTATCAAAGGTAGGTGGTCTCATTGTATACAATCCTTAATATAAAAACATCAATTATTTTTAACGTCTTGCATTATATTGGGAAGTTGTTTGGAACTCCCAAATGTAATAGCACCTCGCATCATTGAGCGGCCTCGAAATATAAAAAGCTATGCTTGAATTGGTCATAATTATCACAATTTAATGAATTAACTAAGCACCTACAAGATGAGGTACCATGGTGTATGTTATTCGCAGATGACATAGTTTTGAACGATGAGATCCGAAACATCGTTAACACAAAGTTACAACTTCGGAGGGATGCTCTAGAATTTTAAGGACTTAAAATTAGCCAGACTAAGACAAAGTATGAAATGTAAGTTTAATAATAATTGGAATAGAGGTAAAGACATAGATAAGATTGACGGCTAAGCAATACAAAAAAGAGTGCACTTTCGATATCTTGGGTCTATAAACTAGGAAAATTGAGAGATTGAAGAAAATATTACGCTTAGAATTAGAGCTAGGTGGGCGAAGTGGAGATGTGCAACCGGAGTTTTATGTGATCGCTTCATACTAATGAAGTTGAAAAGCAAGTTCTATAAGACAATTGTGAGACCAACTTTGCTTTATAGGATAAAATGTTAGGCAATCAAGAAATAATTTGAGATTGATAAGTGGTAAGATAAAAAGGCATAAAACTTAAAATTAATACATTCGAGAGATTTTAGGTGTAATATCAACAGGCGATAAGATGAGAGAAAGTAGATTTATGGGTTCACAGACTCAATACAACACTTGTTAAAAGGTGTGAATTAACTCAAGTGGAAGGCTAAAAAAAGATAAAAAATAGAGGTCCAAAATGACAAGGTTGGAAGTGATGCAAAAAAGAAATGAAACTTATAACCTCATTATGGGTACAACCTTTAATAGATCAGGATTCGTGTAACCGTCTCCAATTAGTTGAAAAAAGACTTTGAAGATGATAAATGATCACAATTTACACAAATTAACCTTAAATCTTTTCCTTCTTGAAAAGAGCATCCTTCCATAAGCACAATGAAGTTTAGGAAAAAGAAAGTTCCCCTAAAAATTTGAATTAAGCTTCAAAACTAGTACATGAAAGGACCTGAGATTAGAGATCACGTGTAATTGGCATTGAGTTAATAAAAGATTATCTGCTCATATATGCAAACCATTAGCAAATTTTGCATTGAGATAAAAAAATTTAAGATTTCAACAGAAAAATGGGCCAGAACCTGGGTACGGAAACAAGCATCAAAGAGAGAGAGAGAGAGAGAGATTTGTTGCTGCAACAAGTGGAGCTGAGCGCAACAGAGGAAATAAACACCATTTGTAGCGCAAGAAAAACAAGATCCATGGGCTTGATGATGAACGATGGCCGGAAAATAGAAGAAAGCCTGGTGAAGCAAGGAAAGCAAGGAAAGAATATTCTGAAAAAGGCATTGTAAGAGGGGGATCCATGTCTGACATTAGTCCATTTTTTATACTCGAGCTTCCTGATGGCCCTTTCTTCATTCAAGTAGAAAAGCAGAACTACACTGCGATCAAGGGGATGAATAGGGGTGGCGGGCTTCCAAATTCAAACTCAAACGTTTCAGAGCCCAAAACTTTCATCAAAGCCCAAAAATGTCTGAATAGTAGCATCGGCATAGTATGATACGCAAGAACGCATCCGATTGGAACAATTGGGAACACAATATGAATAACACTCACATGCCATGCAGTCTATGTTCACATCACAGAAAGTGTGGCTTCTAAGGGAGGAATGAAAGGCATAACATACATCACAGGTGCATGGCATATGGAACCATATACCAGTGGTGTATGACATGCTAATTAATCTGGCCATCACACTAGAGACCCCCAATTTGTTACTATGATTATATTCATAATGGGATACATTGGTGCTTCCTCCAATAACTGAGACATTATCTAGAATGATTCCATTATTCTAAATTTTATAGCGTAGTTAAAACTCTCATAAAAGTCCTTGATCTCATCCCTTGAATGGATTTAGCAGCTTCTAATTTTATGGGGATTGGCCCGCAAGCTGTTCCTTATATTCTTTTGGGGACAAAAAGGCTAAGAATTAAGCAATTAATTGATCTTCTAGGTTGGGAGTTAGAAGGAAGAACAGCCTAATTGTCATCAATTTTCTCACAAAATGATAATATACTATAAAGGGATTATATATTATAAGAATATTTATTTTGGGTACAACTTCACAGTCACCACTAGCCCTAGAGGTAAAATTGGGAGAACTAAGGGTATATCGCAAAGTTTGAGAAATCTTTTTAAACTTTGAGCTATGTCAATGACAATTATACCCTAGTTTCCGGATCTCACCTTTGCCACAGATGATCTTTTGGTACCAAAGATGAATAGTTTTACTATATACCTGCTAATAAATTAAAGACACAAAATGTAGATTATAACCGAGACGGCAGTGGGCAAACATGTTGTATAGAGACCTTTTCCTCTATGGATCGATCACCACATTAGGAAACAACCCCTTAATCCATGATGCAAAGAAAAAGAACATAAAGGCTAATCACAAAAGAGTAACCAAAGAAACATAAATAAACTAAGGAAAAAATTCAGAATTTCTCCCAAGAGTCTCAAAACTCTCACCACTCTCAGAACAAGCACTTGGTCTTGAATGTCCACCAAAACTGCAGATAACTTCCTAAAAAAGAACGGGAATAAAACCAGTAAAACAAACATACCCAACCAATCTAGTATCCACCTTTAAGGTCGTTAACCACATCGTATGGAATTGGAGTAACAGTCTCTATGGTTGCACCTTCAACCATGAAACCAGGCTTCGGGCCCTTGGGCTGCCTCTTTGTGCTGATGATCTCTCCTTTGGCCTTCGCCTCGGCTTTCAACCTATCATTGTTCACCTTCCTCAGTTTAAACTCCTCCCTGCACCTTGAAGGCATAACGTGCTCGACCCTCACGTGAATCCTCTTCTTAATTATACGATTGCCCACCTGTAAGATATGCAGAGAGTTAACAAAGTGATGAGCATTTCCTTCTTTTTTCTCTAAAGGAGCTCATGCACAAACTGTACATTTTTTCACAAGTTATTTTCCATAAGCAAGAATTCCACGCTTTTTCTTTAAAAGGAAAAGAATATTTCCTGCATATTTTGATCTTAACATGATTTGGTTCCATGAACATCTTAAATTTCTTTCATCCTCAGTCCCAGTAGCTTCTTGTACTTTCCCTTATTCAAGGGACCAAGATTGTTTCCACTCTTATATTATTTTCGACGAGATACAGAATAACACAAAAAAATTTCTCCTATCACAACTTTGGGCATGGCAAACCTCTCCAAGGACAATAGCAATCCCAGTCCACAAAAAAGATATCACAACCCCTCATAGCTTCTTCGAGTTAAGAAAAGAAAGGTAGCATCAGAATATGTATATTTGACTCATTGTAGCTAAACTATGGGAAATCCTAGAAAGAAATTTACTTTTTGAAACTATACACCTCATGCTTGAAGCTCTTGGTGGTTTAACCGAGATATCAGGTGCAATGAAGAAAGCAAAGTCAGCTACAAAATTTTATTTATAACTACCATCTCACCCTCAGCATGATGCGTAGATTTACAAAGAAGAAAGAGATTGTGAGGCCTGGGGTCACGAGATTTGCGACCTGGTACTTATGCTTAGATAGCATACATTCGAGAAAAGTGCAGTTGATGCATATATTTACCTCGGATGATTTGAGAGCATGCAAGTGGTCCAAGGATCAGGTTGGAAAGAAGGTGAAAGGTATTATCCTTTTTAAGGCTTTTTGGCGAAGGGTGAATGACACTCTTAAGGTATTTTTTCCTCTTATCAAAGTCCTTCGCATAGTTGATAGTGACAAAGCTTCTATGGGCTCATATATGAGGAGATGGAGAAATGCAAAAGAGAGAGCCCAAAATTTTGATGATGATGAGAACCGCTACAAGCCTGTTTGGGAGATTATTAATGAGAAGTGGTACAGACAGCTACATCGGCCATTGCATACAGCTGGCTATTATTTGAACTCAACTTTTTTTTATGTTGACAAGTATATACATACAAATGACACAATTATGATTGGATTTACTAAATGTGTAGATGTGCTAGTCCCTGATCCCGATATTCAAGATATTATATGTGTATTTTTATAATTCTATTATTTATTTATGATTTTATTCTATATCTTTGCAGCCAATTGTTAGAACCAACATGGGTGTAGTTCTCCAAGTTTACAAATGTTGGTCATTCGGATCTTAAACCTAACCACTTCCTCATCCGGTTGTGAACGTATTTGGAGTACTTTTGAAGGGGTAAGGCAGTAAGGGTAATTTGTATAATTGTATTAATAATACATGAACCATAATTAGTTTCATTGGATTTTGTTAGATTCATACAAAGAAAATGAACATGTTTGAATCAAAGAGGCTCAATGACCTAGTCTATGTCAAGTATAATCGATTCTTGAATGGCAGGTTTGCTAAGAGAGACACCATCAGATCAAAAAAATGGACAATGCTATGAAGTGGTTAGTTGATGATGATGGGGTCGAGGGGCATGAAAGATTGACATGGGGCATGATCATGGATGCTTCAGGGCCATCAGTCGACCCTCCTAGGGCCACTAGATCTTCTACACAGAGGACAAGGGTGGAGGAAGAAGAGGCAGATTCAGAAGAGATGAAAGAGGACGACTAATATGTCGAGGAGGGTGACGACTCCGATGAATTTGATGCAAATGCGGCAGACCCTACTTTTTCTGATGATGAATAATGATTAAACTTTGAAGATTCTTTTGAGTCTACAAGAATTAGTTTCATTTTTGTTTTCTTCCTCTTGGTTGTGAATTATGAATAGTGGATTTGTAGTTCCACTTGTTTGGTATTTGGTAACTTTGGTTTGGTAATTTGGTTGGTAAATTTTAAATTTTAATTGGATATGGACCGAGTTATGGAGTGTGTGCTAATGTATAGATGTGCCCTAAATACCTAATTTTTATAGGGAAATTTTCGTATAGAACCCTAATTCCTCATATTATTTCATGATAGACCCTCTTTCCGTTTTTCTTTCAAGCGGCATAAAGAAACCCCTAAAGATTTCAGCATACCCCCTCATCTCTTATCTCCCTCTTTTATTGACTTTTGATCATACAAATTAACCTCAAAAAATCTTTTTATACCATTTCAACCCAAAAACTTTTTTAATGAGTGGAAAGGGAAAAAGAGGGTTAAAAAAGTTTTTGGGTTGACATGCTATAAAAAGATTTGTTGGGGCTAATTTTTATGGTCAAAAGTCAATAAAAGAGGGAGATAAGAGATGAGGGGGCGCGGTGAAATCTTTAGGGGTTTCCTTATGCCACTTAAAAAAAAAAACGAAAGGAGGGTCTACCATGAAATAATATGAGGAATTAGGGTTCTATATTAAATTTTTTCATTTTTCTATTTTATACAATATATATATATATATATATATATATATATATATACTGTTCCCCCCAAGCCGTCTAGGACCCTTATAGCGCTTTTTGAAACACTGTTTATACCATTATCAGATTGCAGAGTTTATTTAAACCACATGGCTCACCATGGCCTTTTGTCTATCTGCCATCTCATCATCCCATACGATCATCCTAGGCATTATCAGTGTATCAATATCTTCTCTATGACATTAAACTGACATATACACCCCAAGTGATATCAATATTTTCTCTATGACATTAACCTGACATATACACCCCAAGTGAGCAAATGGACTATGTTTGTCAGTAGTTTTCTACACGATGCAAACATTTCACTTGAGTAAGATCTACTTAGTGGCCATATTCATCACCGACATTATTTCAGATTACTTTAATTTATTACACTAACAAATTGATTTCAATTGCCGTATCAAGATCAAAAACCGAAATTTCCATTAAACCAATCAAAATGAAAAAGGATGAGGCATAATTATGGCAGAAACTATTAGAGGATAAATGGAAAAGCTCATAAGGACTAAGAACATGAAATCGCAACCAAACGAAGCTATTAAACAACCAGGATTGTATACAATGAGACCATATACCTTTGATACAAAAGAAGGTCACAATTACTTATAAACATTTGACGTGAAATCTCATAGCTTGGGTGTGTCACAAAGTTCAAGAGAATTTCTTTTTGAAGTTTGAGCTTGGTCAATGGAATAAATGCCACCATGGTCAAGATTAATTGTGACCACCTTGCACCAAAGATAAAGTCTCCTCATATTTTTTCCTAAAAAAACTAATACTCAATGATGCATAGAAACAATACCTGGTGAAGTAAGGTGGTAAAAATGTTGGATGTATGTAATAAAAAGATGGATTTGAGCCCCACACCCACACCCACCCACACCCACACCCACACCCACACCCACCCACACACACACACACACACACACACACACACACACAGATATATATATATATATATATAGTAATCCATCTATTCAAGATATAAACAACTAGAAGACAGAAAAACTGATGCCCCGATTTCCCAACCCTTACATTGTGACAATAAACTTAAACATTCAAAAGAATTCACCATACGACAATTATCAACAAATAAAACATAAAAAATAATAAACCTAAAAATAACAATACCAACATATATCACGAACAAAGTGTACGTTAAAAATTAAAACCCCAATAAAAATGCAAATATAGTTTACATGGCACTGAAGTCAGATGACACAAAAAAAAGAAGTTATCTCTCACAGAAAAAAAAAAAAAAAGTAACAAATTGTCAAATGCATATGAAGAAATGTGAGACTCTTGTGTATAACATGGATAAAAAATTGCATATAATAATAATAATAATAAATAAATAAATTCTTTAAAACAAAAATAATAATAATAAATAAATATAAAAGAAAATAATCAAAAAATGAGTATGGAAAAACGAACAAACCAAGCCATCCAAAATATCATAATAACAATATTCATATTATAGTTCATCATGAGCAGTAAAAAGAAATAGTGCAAACAAAGCAAAGCAAATTAATTAAATGATAAACAAATAAAATCCATGGAAACTCCCCATCCAACTTACAGCTAACAAAATTCATAAATAAACTGCTCACAAAATGCATAATGCTTTCGGATAACTAGCAAACAGAAACATATATCACATGCAGAGGAGACAGAAAGAGATCAAGGATTAAAAAGGGCGAATCAATTAAAATACTTAGAGAGAAAGAGCGAGAGGAGTAGGACCTGCTTGTTGATTTCCACACCGATTGCTCGCTTGGTGACGTTCCAGACCTTGCCGGTGCGGCCATGGTAGAACTTATGGGGCATGCCCTTGTGCACCGCGCCATTAACCTTGACATCCACATAGTCCCCAACCTTGTAAGTCCTCAAATAAATAGTGAGAGGGATGTAGCCCTTCTTCCTGAAGGCCCTGGCGAACAGGTCCCTAGTGCGAGCACGAACACCATGACCAGCCGGCATCCTCGCTCTCTCTTTCTCTCTCTAAAACTCCTCTCTCTCTCGAACCCCCTTTCTCTGGACTCTCTAACCCTCTCTGTCTCTATAATTCTGGGGCGAGCAAACCCTAGGGGATGGGTGTAAATCGTTGAAATTTTTGTGTATTTGTGCATGGTAATCGTTTTAATTACTGAATTGTCCCCTTCTTATTGACAAATTACAGATGTAGCCTCCTCGTTCCCGTCGCCCGCACCTGAAAAATCCAGCCTGGGGTAGCTCGCTCCATGAGGGTATTTGCTAGGGCTGGATACTAGGGGTGGCAATGGACCCGGTACCCGAGGGATAGAACCGATCTGGGTTCGGGTATAGGTCAAAAAATTGGATATGGTGGATCAAGTCAGAGTCCAAATCTCGGACCCGAATACTATTCTCGTTCGGGTTTGTATTTGATAATATTTTTTGGGTCTTGATATATAAGATATAGTTAAATACATAGATATTTTAATTTTTGGATCAAAGCCGAACCCGACCTGACCCGTTGCCGGCCGTAAAGAGACAGATACGAGGGACATGAATATCTATTGACTCCAAAGTCTTAAATTAGTGGGTAAATAAGTTTGTTAGCTGCTCATTGGGATTGACAATTTTTTATTGAAAAAAATAACTTTTTATCCCTTATTTTTAACTTCCATATCTGATGAGACCCAAGAATTGAAAATATTACTTGTAAACAAAAAATCTCTATATTTTTCTATCTTACAACCCCTTTGAGTCATTTGACCATAAAATTTTGACCCAAACAAACACTAAAATAACACCTTATTCAAACTCCATCTCTCTCTCTAAAACTCTCTCTCTCTTTGCTTCTCAAGGAGTTTACCGCCCAAGGGGTTTAGCTCGAGCTCGAACACGAGCACATATTCCTATGTGTGAGAGAGAGATGGAGTTTTAGAGAGAGAGAGATAGAGTTTGGGTTTTAAAGAAAGAGATGGAGTTTGAGTTTTAGGGAGAGAGATGGAGTTTAGAGAGAGAGAGACAATAATGTGAGAGAGAGATGAAGTTTTGAGAGAGAGAGACAATAATGTGAGAAAGAGATGAAGTTTCAAGAGAGAGAGACAATAATGTGAGAGAGAGATGAAGTTTAGGTTTTAGAGAGATGGAATTTTGAGAGAAAGATGGAGTTTTAGAGAGAGAGAGATATAGTCATTTCATAAGTTGTTGAGGTCAATAATACATGGTCAAAGGGGTTTAGGGGATTGGAAAATAGAAAAGATGGAGTCATTTTACTTACAATTAATATTTTCAATTATTGGATATGATGAGATATAGAAGTTAAAAATAGAGGATAATAAGATATTTTTATTTTTTTATTTAGGTTTAGATTTGTCTCGGTCAATTTGATAATATTGTAATATTATTTTAGAAAAATATCTCCATACTTCATGTTTTTAGGTTTCATTTTACAATAGACTCAAAGTTTTAAAAGATCTCTTCGGGCATAAAAATTATAGATTTTATTTATTCTAACTCCCTAAACTAATTTAAACATGGTTTTTTTTGCCAAACAAATCGAAAACAACATACATTTTCTAAAAACCATCCTCCCAAACTTCTACATAAATAGAAAGGTTTAATGGAGGTGAGAGGTTACCGAGAGGAGAGAGAGAGGTGTTTGGAAAAATACGAGAGGAGAAAAAGTAAGAAGCACGGTAAGAGAGAGAAAGAGAGAAGTTTGAGATATATAAGTGAAGAGAGAGAAATGATTGGGTTTAGAAAGAAAATGTCTTTATCGTATTTGTTTAGATTAAAAAATAGATTTAAAGTAGAAGGAGCTTATAAGGTATATTTTGAAATTTTGAGTTTATTGAGAAATGAAAACTAAAAATAGAGGATATAGATATATTTTCCCTATTTTTAGGGTACGGTTTGTATAGAACTGAGGGTATAAGTAATCAAAGTAAAATACACTTTCAAATAGTGTCGAGAAATGTGGTTTCAATACTATAAATCTTTGTGATAGCCTTAACATATTCTCTAGTAAAAAAATTTAAAGCTTCAAAAATAGTATAGATCGAGCGAATATGTGGAAACTTTAAAATCTTGAAAATTAATGGTCCAAAGATGCATTACAAGATGCACTATTTCCAAAACTTGAAGTCCATTTTTTTCTCATGTCCATGCATCTTGAGGTCGAGATGATTAATTTAAGGATATTTGGGCATCAAAACAACCTCTTCTAGTGAAATTTTTGAGGTGCGCCGTAATTTGATTGTTTATAGGCTCGCACTTATAAGATTTTTCCTTAAATTTATAATTAAAAATAAAAAAATTAGGCCATCATAAAGATTTTCAATACTGAATCGACATCTTTTGATGCCTTAGCCTCAAACAAACCACACCCAATCAGGAAAATAACAATGTCTTCCAAAACATGCGAGTAGAGCCACATCAAATCACGAACTCTATCTTTAGATCCATAATATAGTAGGCACAAACAACATGAGACTTTCGAGGGATACCTACAGTGTTTTGTTCATTTCATGCATGAACTAGCCTATTTTAAAACCGACCCGGTGTCTATGCGGCCAAGCCCGCATTTGAAGAAATGCGGGCCTCTTAATAGATCTATTTTTTTAAGATGGATTTTAATTTTTTAGGACATGTAATCTCTAACATGGAGATCTAGAATATGAAAAAATAAATAATTTTTTAAAACTAAAAAATAATAATTTTAGTAATAAAATATTTAGACCGTTATTAGATGGAACACCTTTTGCATCCATTTTTAAGATGAAGGACTTACACTTTCTGGACTGATGTAGAAATGCGGTCCAACCCGCATAAAACAATTTTCTTTTTAAAAAAACAAAGTTAAAAAAAAAAACCCCACATATTGGATCGTTAGATAGCCAGATATGGAGTCTTTTTCAAAGATTAGGGGAGAAATACTGCTCGGATGCACAACAATTGAGGCTAAATTAATGGCATTTAAACACGAAATACTCGAGATGCAGCAGGGTGACAGATAAAATAGAGCAAAAAGCCACTAGACACATTATGGAGATGGAGTGCACAAGTGAGATAACAAGCATCTAGTTTTACAAAAAGAAAAAAGTGAGATCAAAAAGCTTCCACAAGACGCATTAGACTGGTAATCTCATTGGGAAAGAAAGAGCATTTCATTGACCATGGGTGAGATAGAGCCTTCGGGTTGAAGCTGTTCTATTGGCCTTTTGAGTAGAGGCCATGTAGACTTCAAACGCGATTATACAACCCCAAAGAGTGTTTTGTAGTTTTCCTCCCTTACAAAGTTTTGGGCTTGAGTGGTTAGTAGTAGACATTAGCAATACTGTATTTCAAGTTCGACTCCTATCACTGAACTACTTAACGTAGCAACAATGCTTTTTTAAGGATGGTAATGGCCCACGTGGCCCGAACTGGCCTAGTTGGTATGGCCTTAAAAAACTAGGGCATGGGTCACAAAAATCTAGCCCGTGGTCGGGCTTAGGCCAAGCCCAGCCCGGCCCTCGTTTATTTATCTTTTTTTTTATACTTTTTTTTTTTAATTTTACCCACCCTAGCCCGGATAGGGCCAGCGTGGGCTTGGGTCGGCTCTTGGGGCAATAGGGATACTCGGGGTCGACCCACGTCCGCGAATAAATGAATTGTGAGACTAAATTACCTTGTATATGAGCATTGAGGACGGTCGATGGTAGAGGAAAGAGAGCAAGCACTGTTTTAAAAAATGCTGGGACGAAATGGAATCTCTTAGTCTGATCTGGGAATCGTTCAGCCCGTTCTGGTTCTCTTGATATATAGGGGACCGGCTAAGTTTAGAAAGGAACCAACAATTCTAAACGGTAAAATGGCGATTATTGTTCTGGAATCAGTTGATCATTCGTTCCATGCCAAATCCGCCAAACAAGAGAACTTTTCTCAAATCTTCAATTTTGACCTATAGAAATTTGGTTAAAACCAATGGTTTAAAAAACGGATCGGTGACCCGGATCGGGCTTCCAAAAAACCGATCCGGATGGGCGAATCGGCGATCCGGATCGGGAATCGGGTGAATCGGTCAGAATAAAGCTTAAAAAAATTTCGAAAAAATT